TGCATCACCCACCCACACACCCATCTATCCACCCACCCATCCATCTGTCCATGCATCCATCCACCCACACACCCATCTATCCATCCACCCACACAACCATCCATGCATCCATCCACCCACACACCCATCTATCCATCTACCCATCCATCCATCCGTGCATGCACCCACCCACACACCCATCTATCCATCCACCCACACACCCATCTATCCATCCACCCACACAACCATCCATGCATCCATCCACCCACACACCCATCTATCCACCTACCCACACACCCATCCATGCATCCACCCACCCACACACCAATCTATCCACCCACCTATCCACTCCACCCACACACCCATCTATCCATCCACCCATCCATCTATCCATGCATCCACCCACCCACACACCCATCTATCCATCCATCCACCCACCCACACACCCACACACCCATCTATCCATCCATCCACCCACCCACACACCCATCTATCCACCCACCTACCCACTCCACCCACCTACCCTTCTATCCATCCACCCATCCATCCATGCATCCACCCACCCACACACCCATCTATCCACCCACCCACCCATCCACCTATCCACCCATCCATCCATCCCCACTCTCATGCACTCATCCATCTACCCATCCATCCATCCATCCATCCATCCATCCATCCATCCACTGCCCCACCCATTCACTCATCCATCCATCCATCCGTCTGATGACATGGTGTGCATCTTAGGAATATACAAAGGAGACCATTAAAAGCAAAGTAAAACTTACAGCAGGGGTGGGCATGGTGGCATAATCCTGTAACCCCAGCAGTCTGGAAGGCTGAGGCAGTACAACTGTAAATTCAAGCCCAGCATGGGCATTTGAGGTGCTTAGCAAGAGCCTATCACTACATGGCAGTACATGCCTGTAAGCCAGTGCTCAGGAGGCTGAGGCAGGGGGATTGTTGTGAGTTTGAGAACAGCTTGGGTGAGCTACAGAGTGAGCTCAAGGCTAGCCTGAGCTGCATAGCAAGACCCTGTCTCAAAAAGACAATAAATGAATAAATAAAGTGCTGGGGATGTATCTCAGTGCCAGGGCCCTGGGGTCAGTCTGTAGTACTAGGGGAGAAAAGACTTTAGGAGCTTAAATGCCCTGAAAGGTTATCTCAGATTTCACATCTAGAAACTTTTTTCTAATGGGGAGATTTAATCCAGACGTCACATTTACAAGACCTCCAAAAGGAGCTAGGCTGCCAAGTACTTATAAACTCCTGTTTTCAGCCTGCAGCGGGTTTGTAGGGAGACAGCAGGCCTATCATTTTAGCTGCCACTTGAGAGGTCTAGTTTTTATTATTTATGTATTTGGTACAGGGCCTTGCTACACAGCTTGGACTTGTGGTGGTCCTCCTGTCTCAGCCTCCCCAGCTCTGGGATTACAAGCTGTTTCAGGAGCTGGCATAGCACACCCAGGGATCTGGGGCCAGCGTAGCATGTGGTACCAGGGATTGAACCTAGATCCTTGCACTTCCGAGGCAGGCACTTGACCTCTGAGCTAACTCCATGGCCCTAGACCTTCTTTTTTCTTTAAAAAATGTATTTGGCACAGGGTCTACAGGGTCTCACTATGGAGAGCAGACTTGTAGTGGTCTTCCTGTCTCAGCCTCCCAAGCGCTGGGATTACAGGCGCGCGCCACCACGCCCAGTCTCAGTCACCATCCCAATACTCCCTGGGGGCGGGGCTGCCATGGCACTGGGAGCGAACCCCGCTGCTGCGCTCCGCCTGAGGAGGCGCGTTAGTCCGCTGAGCTATCTGGCCGGCCCATAGGCCGTTTTCTTGAGCTGCATCCACCAGCACACTCATCCTAAGCAGGATCTCATGGGAGGGTCAGATGCAAACCAGTTTCTAGGGCCTTCCAATTTTTTTTTTCTTCCCTTTGTGATCATGTTCTCGCCTCTGAACCTGTGACAGTGGCCAGGTGACTGGCCCTCTGGCCAGCGGACCACATGTTTTCGTGCTCTGCTTGTTGACAGGAAAGCTGGCTTCCTGTGAGGCCAGGGATTGATTCATCGCTGGCTTCTGCCGCTGCCTACTCATGGCCGGTGGGGAACTGCGATTTTCAGACACGAGCTCTCATTACCAAATAGGACTGGAGTGTGACGTGGGGGAGTCTCCTCTCCCTCGTCTTCTTTTTATGAGGGTGTTGCTTTCCCAGGGCTGTGGGAACAAATTGCTACAAATTTGTTGCTGGCTGGAAACATGAAGGTATCTCTGTGTAGTTCAGGAGTCCGCAAGTCCACCATGGAGGAGTCGGCAGGGTGTTCAGAGAGGAAATCCATGCCTCGCCCCTTTTCTGGCTTCTGTTGCTACTTAGCAATCCATGGCTAACAGACTCCAGGCTCTGCTTTGGTTCTTACATGGTTCTGCTTGGTTTTTATGTGCGCTTGCGCCCAAATATTTTTCTTCTTTGTTAAAATCATTTATTTATTTATTTATTTATTTATTTATTTATTTATTTGGTGCAGGGTCTGGCTATGCAGCTCTGACTTGTAGCAGTCCTCCTGTCTCAGCCTCCTCAGTGCTGGGATGACAGGCATGGGCCATCAGGCCCAGTTTCAATACCATGTGGTACCAGGGATTGAACCCAGGTCCTTGCATTTACCAGTCAGGCATTTAGACTGCTGAGCTATCTCCCCAGCCCCAAATATTCTTGTTCTAAGAGGACTCAAGATCTGCCCTAGTCCAGGATGGCCTGATCTTTACTGGATTATATGTGTAAATACTCTGAGGTCACATTCCCAGGTTCTGGACTGCTTTAATCTATGGGGAGAACCTCTTCAATCTGGTAGGATTAGTGAGATTTCAGATTTTTTTTCCCCTGTGTTCCTAACATAGTCTGTAATATAGCAGATATTCAGTAATTGTGTGTGTGTGTGTGTGTGTGTGTGTGTGTGAGAGAGAGAGAGAGAGAGAGAGAGAGAGAGAGAGACAGAGAGACAGAGAGATAGAGAGACAGAGAGACAGACATACTGGGATTTGAACTTTCAAACAAGTGTTTGCCCTGAGCTACATCCCCATCCCCTTTTAAATTTTTTTATTGTGTGTCAGGGTCTCGTTAAGTTGACCAGGCTGTGCTTGAACTGTCCTTCCTAAGCCTTCTGGAATTCTGGAATTATAGGCACACCCAGGGATCTGGGGCCATTTATCAGAGCTAGACAAAGCTGCTCCTCTGTCTAGCTTTGATAAATACTTGCTAGTGGGTATGGCACATGCTTGTAATCCTAGTACTCAGGAGGCTGACAGGAGGATCACCAAGAGTTCAAGGCCAGCCTGGGCCTCATAGTGAATTCAGCACCAGCCTAGATTACATAGCAAGATCCTATCTCAAAATTTTTTTAAAAAAAAATTCTGCAATGGGGCTGGTGAGATGGCTCAGTGGTCTAAAGCACCTACTTAGAACAAGCTAAGCTAAGCAAAGCACAGAGACCGCGGTTCAATCCCCAGCACCACATGCCAGCCAGCCCTGCACCCTGGTGGGCTGAGCTGGCCACACACACACAAAATAGATAAATAAATAGATAGATAAATAAATACATTTAAAAAAAGAATTAAAAAAATTCTGCAATGAAGACTGATTATCATGCTTAAATGGGCAGGCTCTGGTGACAGAGGGCTTGAGTTCAAAACCCACCTCTGCCGCTTTCCAGGTAATCCTCAGAGCGCTCCTTTCCTCTTTTGTTTATGGGGACAGTGATAACATCCTGCCTGTAAGATCTGAGGGTTACAGGAAGTGCTCCGTGAAGCAATTAGCATAAACGTGGTACTCAGTATACACAGCTATGGGATAGATGATAGCCATTTTTATTTTTTTTATGTATATAGTATAGGGTCTACAGGGTCTTCCTACGTAGATTGGACTTGTAGTGATTCTCCTGTTTTCAGCTTCCCAAGCGCTGGGATTACAGGCGTGTGCCACCACGCCCAGTCTCAATTGCCTTCTCAGCACGCGCTGGGGGCAGAGCCAGCAGGGCACTCCGGGAATCAAACCCTGGTCCCCGCGTCTGCCTAAGCAGGAGCGTTAATCTACTGAGCTATCTATCTGGCCAGCCCTGGGATAGCGATTTTTGTCATTAGGAGAATGTGCATTGGGACCACCACTGTGAAGTGGCTGCTCTGCAGGCTGAAAGGTCTAAACGACCCGCCATGGAGGGGGAGGGGGAGCTGCAGAGGCAAATCCCTGTTGATCCCATAATAGCTGCAATAAGAACACTCGCAAGGCGGCTGGTGGACTGTCAGCTCATTTCATTCCCAGCAAAAAGAATTTGTGTCTTGCTGCCTGGGTGGGAAGCTGGGCCCAGGCTGGTGAGTGGCCCAGCCAGCGTTCAAGCCGAGCTGTGGAGCGTACCGGGCTAGGAGGTACCAGGGAATGAGCAGCGAGGCTTGGGTTGGCTTCGCCGTACGGGCTGCTC